TTTTTTTTCACTAAAACGGAGAGGTTTGGACATAGCAAAAAATGCAATTGTTTTCTCAAAATTCTTTAAAAATGTGCGATTGTGTCTCTAGAGTTAAAATAAAATGAAAAATGAAAACATGCTCAGGCAGTTATTAAAAATATATTTCTTAAAAATCTACTACTAAAAACATATTCCAAAATCCACGGTTGTAACTCCGATAGTTCCACGATAAAGGCATTCTAGTTTTACAAATAAAACATTTTTTTTTAAATACCTGTTTGTAACTCTGATATTCCAAGAAAAAAATATACTTTCGAATCGAAACACTAAAGACTTTCCACGAAATGTGAAAATAGCCAATGATATATAGGCTTCAGTTTTTCAAGCCATACAGGGTCGCCAGAAAAATATACAATATTTCAATTTTAATTTACTATTTTCTTCGTCTCGATATTTAATAATTATTAAATATTTTCATCGAATTTGATGTCATACAGTTCCTCAATTTTTTGTCTCTTTCATTTATAAAATATTTTCCAAAATCATTGATATCGAAATTCTTATTTATTTTTATTAGCACACTTTAAACGCACTCACATATTTTGACAAAACAATGCTTGCACGCCTACAAATAATCCTTTTTCCAAACCCTACATACATACCTTCATACAGACTCACACATAACAGCAATATTATCATAAAAATGCCACATTCTCTGATGATGTTGGTATGTGGTATAACCCATATATACATATGTAAGCATGTGTGATTCCAAGAGGGATTCCAAGATAAATATCTCAATGTTTGCATATAAACGTGTGCGTCTGTATGTGTTCGGGTCCTATCCCTTTTTTCTAGTTTTGTCGAAATTCCTTAGTGAAGCATAAAAACTTTACGCTTGATTTGTTATTTTGATTTCTCGTTCTTTTTCTTTTGTTGTTGTTGGTATATTTTTATAGTGGTCTACCACCGAGAGCACATATTGACTTTTTACAGTGGCTCAAATGTGTATTGATGTTCTTCCGGTTTGAATTTTCCAAACTCACAAAAAAATTCTTTAAATAGTTTCCCATTTTGCCAGGGTATTCAAATCCCTATGTCCCAAAAGACAAAAATCATCGAAATAAAAATAAACAATAAAATAAAAAAATCTCCCATCATCTGTTGAGCTGCCTAATAGTGTATCTCCACCCTTTTTTGGCTTTGCATATTCTTTGATTTTTCCTCGGACCGAATCCAAGGGATTTTTGGCAAAAGGATTGAATTGTAATGGTCTGGATTTTTGGTGTATGTATGTTTCTCTATAGTCAGCATTCGTAGCTACATTATTACAATGATTACAACCCTTCGCATCGGATTTATTTATGTTAGCCAATTTTCCTATGGGATTTGGTTGGCTAGAAAATCATTTGTGTTCTTCTTTACTGAAGTCAAATAATTTATGTGCCAGTGTAAGCCAATTTATTACCCTCCATATTATTTGCGCCTTAAATCATCATCATAATCAAATGCTTTAGTCCACAGAGTTTTATTTGCCACAAATCAAAAATAAAAAAATCATAATTGGCAAATGCCTAGGTCAGCAGCAAATATTGGGAATGTGATTTTAGAACAGTTTGTGTTTGAATGCTATTTTATTTTTCTGGTAAACCGCTGCACTATAGGTCAAATGACCGTTTTTTCTGTGCAAAATTGAAAAAAATCAAAGTGTCGTTCTTCACGAGTTATTGTTGTTTTTGTATTTAGAACACTCTAAAATAGAGACACGTGATATTTATTAGTGCTAAATATAAAGTACCGTTACACAGCTGGCCGTGCAAGTCGCTCAATACAATTTATTCTATAAATATGCTTATATTTCTGTAGGGCTTAGTCAACTTTGAGTGCGTATTATTTCGATTGTGTTTACAGTAATTAATTAGTGTAAAATGGAAAATATAGATACAAGTGAGCATATTTATATTAAATCAAAACATTTTTATGTTTGTGACACTATACTTGAAAATAACCCTTTAGTCTATGAAGGCTTTAAAAAGTTAAAGTAATTTGATAGATTGAATTTCAGTAAGCTATTAAAAAAAATGACCCAATATGACCTCTTTGAAATCTTGCACATAAATTAAGTGATTAGTAATGAGTTAATTTAAATTTATTTCAAGTTGCGATTTTTTGCGTTTTGCGAGTAATGCAACCTCCGTATAAAAAGTCGAACTTTTTGAAATATGGCTAAAAGAAGGTAACAAGAAGAAAAAAATATGTTGCTGTTTTCAAACATGTAGTGAGCAATATTGATGTCGACAACATTTCGGATGAAAGAGAGAAATTTTTAAAGCAAATATTACATTTATTTTGCTTAAAATTAGCGCAAAATTTGGAAAAATGTCACAGAAAGATGAATGTTTTCAAAGACAACCAGTAGGAAAGATCAAAAGTCAGACTGGGCCGACTATGTGATACCCTTTACTACTTTGGCTACAAACAAAAAATGATAATGTGTACAATATCCTATTAATACAAGAGACATACCATCTTTGGATGACCATTAACTTGGAATCGGGTAAAAAACAAATGTGATCTACATAGATATTTGAGCCAATAAAAACCATACTCATGACATTCTGAAATATATAAGAAAATTGCATATCAACCGCATAAATATTGAAAGTTTGGCGCACAATTTACCTAAAATCTCTATATCGACCGATTTCAAGGAAACTTCATAGATGCCAAACTGAATTCAGCACGCTGTGCAAAATTTCGTTTAAATCGGATAATTGGGATTTTGCTGCACCATTTACATAAAATCGGACGAAACTATATATGTGTGCTATATATAAATCTGGACCGATTTCAACAAAACTTCACAGATATCAAACTCGACTAAATTCCGTACGCTGTGCAAAATTTTGTCCCAATCGGGCAAACATTTTCAGTTTGGTGCACCATTTACCTAAAATCGGACGAAACTATATATGGAAGCTATATCTAAACCTGAACCGATTTCAACAAAACTTGGCACATATCAATCTAGACCTAATTCAGTTCTCTGTGCAAAATGTTGTCTCAATCGGACCAATATTTGCAGTATGGTGCTCTGTTTACATAAAATCGGACGAAACTATATATGGGAGCTATATCTAAATCTGAACCGATTTCAACAAAACTTGACACATATCAATCTAGACCTAATTCAATACTCTGTGCAAATTTTTTTTCTAAATCGGACTAATATTGGCAGTATGTTGCACCATTTACATAAAATCGGACGAAAATATATATGGGAGCTATATCCAAATCTGAACCGATTTCTTCCAAATTCAACAAAAACGATTCAAGTAACACTAAAAAATAAGTTGGGCTAAATTTCATGACGAATACTATGATTTTGTTGCCGCTATTAATTTTGCACAGAAAAAGTGGTCATTTGACCTATAGTGCGCTGGTGGGAATTTTGCAAAGATGTTTAACGCAATATGTGTAGAGCTATTGTATATTGAGGGCTAGATTGATATTTTGTGAAACTAAGGGTCCTAGAAAAAATATTCTTTGAATATCCACGCCTGTGCCTCTAGTAGTCCTAGAAAAAATATTCTGTAAAAATCCACGCCTGTGGCAGTGATAGTCCTAGAAAAAATATTCTGTTAAAATCCACACCTGTGGCAGTGATAGTCCTAGAAAAAATATTCTGTAAAAATCCACGCCTGTGGCAGTGATAGTCCTAGAAAAAATATTCTGTAAAAATCCACGCCTGTGGCAGTGATAGTCCTAGAAAAAATATTCTGTAAAAATCCACGCCTGTGGCAGTGATAGTCCTAGAAAAAATATTCTTTAAAAATCCATAGTCCTAGAAAAAATATTCTGTAAAAATCCACGCCTGTGGCAGTGATAGTCCTAGAAAAAATATTCTGTAAAAATCCACGCCTGTGGCAGTGATAGTCCTAGAAAAAATATTCTTTAAAAATCCATAGTCCTAGAAAAAATATTCTGTAAAAATCCACGCCTGTGGCAGTGATAGTCCTAGAAAAAATATTCTGTAAAAATCCACGCCTGTGGCAGTGATAGTCCTAGAAAAAATATTCTGTAAAAATCCACGCCTGTGGCAGTGATAGTCCTAGAAAAAATATTCTGTAAAAATCCACGCCTGTGGCAGTGATAGTCCTAGAAAAAATATTCTTTAAAAATCCATAGTCCTAGAAAAAATATTCTGTAAAAATCCACGCCTGTGGCAGTGATAGTCCTAGAAAAAATATTTTTTAAAAATCCACGCCTGTGGCAGTGATAGTCCTAGAAAAAAATATTCTTTGAATATCCACGCCTTTGGCAGTGATAGTCCTCCTAAAAATATTCTTTAAAAATCTACGCCTGTGGCTCTGGTAATCCTCGAACAAATATTCTTTAAAAATCCACGCCTTTGGCAGTGATAGTCCTCTAATAAATATTCTACAAAAATCCACGCCTGTGGCTCTGGTAGTCCTAGAACAAATATTCTTTAAAAATCCACGCGTGTGGCTTTGATAGTCCTCCAAAAAATATTTTTAAAAAATCCACGCCTGTGGCTCTAGTAGTCCTAGAAAAATATATTATTTAAAAATCCACGCCTGCGCCACTGAAAGTCCAGAGAAAAGTTCTTTAAAAATCCACGCCCGTGCCACTGAAAGTCCAGAGAAAAATTCTTTAAAATCCACGCCCTTGCCACTGAAAGTCCAGAGAAAAATTCTTTAAAATCCACGCCCTTGCCACTGAAAGTCCAGAGAAAAATTCATTAAAAATCCACGCCTGTGGCTCTAGTAGTCCTAAAAAAAAATATTCTTTAAAAATCCACGCCTGTGGCTCTAGTAGTCATAGAAAAAATATTTTTTAAAAATGCACGCACAAACATTTCTTAAAAATCTCCATCAGTTTAAATTTGTTTCCCTTTTAAGTGTCTGTCACCCACATCAGAACATACATACCTATGTGTGACATCACATATTTATAAACATATTTACTTTTCTCTTTCTCTACTTTTTTGTTTTCAGCTTACGTTTTTTGGCGAAAAATTCTTTAATGATAACGAATGTAGGTCGCCGAGATCGTGGCGTCTATCAGTGTCTGGTTGAAAATCAAAAGTCGAGTGCCCAAGCCATGGCTGAATTAAAATTGGGTGGTAAGTATTTAATGGAATTCTTCCGTCTGGTTTATTTCTTTTAACTTGTTAACTTCACTGCAGTAGAGAGATGTCTCTTATGTGTGTGTGTCTGATGGTAACTGATACATTTCTGTGTGTGTCTGTGTTTTTGTATTATTTTATAGATACTGTGCCAGAATTGATTTATACGTTCATTGAACAGAACGTACGACCCGGGCCATTAATATCGCTTAAGTGTTCAGCCAGCGGTTCACCGCCACCACAGGTGAGTTAATAATGCAGAAAAAACGAATAAGGGAGGAAATTTGTGCACAGTTTTAATTTTTTTATTTACGAAGTGATTCTACTTCAGTGACAAAATTCTAAAACAATAATTTTTTTTTAAACCATAAACTTCATACACACAATTTTTGAAAATTTATTTGAAATTTTTACAGAAGTCTAAAATAAATTATGCTTTAATTTATTACTGCTTTTATTATTGTAAAATTCTTTATCTTTGCCATGGTCGTAACTTTTTCCAATTTTGTTTCATTTTTATGTAGTTCTCCTGGCTATTGGACTCCCAGCCCATTATGGATGTTTCTCTGCATCATCGCTTTGCAATTGGCCAATTTGTCGATATGTCTGGCGATGTGATAAGTCATTTGAATATTTCACATGTACGACCCGATGATGGTGGACTTTATAAATGCATAGCAACGAATACGATGGGCAGTGTGGAACACTCGGCACGTCTTAATGTTTATGGTAAGTGTGGCCATTACTCTTTTTATGGTAGACAGTATTTTAATATTATTTGCTTTAATAAAAGGGGAAGATATAAATTGGTATAGTATACTGAAATATATAAAAATAGAATTATGTGTAGCTGGTACGAGGTATTTAAATAAACTTTATGTATTTCAAATATTTCACACATACCCTTCTCTGCTATGTTGTAAGTTATTAGTGGCCCCAATAGTTTGTGACGTTGAGAAATATTAATCCTAGACCCATCTTTTTGAATACCGATCGTCATATCTCGACTCGCTGAGTCGATTTAGACATGTGTGTCCGTCCGCCTGTCCATTATCCAGTCCAGGCCAAAGTTATAAAATTTGGGCCTATTAAGTGACCTGTGCCAAATTTCATCCATATCGGATCATAAATAAGACCTGTACTCTGTTAAAAAATACATGGACGGACAGACGGACGGACATACATAAATCGACTCAGAAAGTGATTCTATGCATATTCTCAAAAGGAACCATGGGTCTATTTCGATTTTTTGTCCTGTTACAAACATATGCACAAAAACACCATACCCTGTACCACTGTGTTGTGAAGGGTGTAAAAAGGGGGTTATATGTGAACTACCCCTAAAAGGGGGCGAATATTAATAATTTTTGGGAGGGCGGTTTGTTACCATATTCGACTACAAAAAACCAAATTACAAAGAATTTGGTTGAAAAACGCGCTCAAGAACCCCAAAATACCGGAAATTGGGGGTACCCTTATATGGGGCCTACCCGAAAAAATGGACCTATATTTATAATTTATAGTGGAGAGATTTGCTACCAAATAATAACTCGACGTACTAAATTACAGTCAATTCGGCCGAAAAATACGATCAGAACCCCCAAAATACCAACAATTTGGGAGTACCGTTATATGGGGACTACCAGAAAAACTGGACCTACATTTAAAATTTTTAGTGGAGTAATTTGGTAACCAATAAAAACCCAATGTGCTAAATTTCAGAGAAATCAGTTATAAAACGAGCTCAAGAACCCCAACATACCGAAAATTTGGGGTACCCTTATATGGGGACTACCCGAAAATATGGACCCCTATTTATAATTTTTAGTAGGGAGATTTGCTACCCAATAAGAACTCAAAGTACCAAATTTCAGCGAATTCGGTCGCAAAATACGATCAGAACCCCCAAAACACCAAAAATTTTGGGGGTACCGTTATATGGGGACTAACAGAAAAACTGGACCTATGTTTATAATTTTTAGTAGGGAGATTTGCTACCCAATAAGAACTCAAAGTACCAAATTTCAGCGAATTCAGTAAAAAAACGCGTTAAATAACCTCAAAATACCGAAAATTGGGGGGTACCCGTATATGGGAGCTATGCCTAAACGTGGACCAATTTTCTCCAATTTCAATAGGGTTCGTCCTTGGGCCAATTAAGTGACCTGTGCCAAATTTCATCCAAATCGGATCATAAATGCGACCTGTACTTTGTTAACAAAAATACATGGACGGACAGACGGACATGCATAAATCGACTGAGAAAGTGATTCTATGCATATTCTCAAAAGGAACCATGGGTCTATCTCGATTATTTTTGCCTGTTACAAACATATGCACAAAGACATAATACCCTGTACCACAGTGTGGTGAAGGGTATAAAAAAGGGACCATTGACATTACGATTTAATAGGCATCAGCGTACGGAAAACTCCACGAATAGTGTATCAATTGGATTATAAAGATTCCGAATATTAATTTAAAACTAATTAGTTGGAATATTCACATATTCTTATAATAAAAAAATTGCTTCTATGAATCAGACATTGCCATTGGAACGTATGACATTATTTAATATAAACGTACAGTTTGTCGTACGAAAATGTGTTGTGCTGCTCAAAGTAACTTAAAAAAAAAACTTGAAATTCGACAATTGTTTTACATAGTCTATGTAATGTAACATACGTGCTTCCTACGAAATCCAAAATGTCACATTACTGCAAATTCATTCGTTAACTTCCAAAATTGAATGACAAAGTTAATATATTCTTAGCATTATCAAGATGACGAGCAAATATTTCTGAATAATAATCTTTTTGGGGACCATGAATATTTATTTCTTCTTGAAAACACCCTGACACGTACAGGCACTTTTCACATTTGATGTCATTTTAATGGACCTTAAGAGCTATGCCTATTTACTCAAGCCAATTTGACTTTGATATACTTCGACTCCGCCCGCAATATTCAACTGTCAATGATATCTGAGCTATACTTGTTTTTCTGCTCTGTTCGTTTATTTCTTGTTTTTGTTACATTCCCATTCATTTGTTTTCATCGAAAAAATATCATTTTTAATTTATTCTTGTCATATTCACAATTTCCATCACAACAACCGTTCACATTGTCTTTTCATGTTTGGCATTCATTCCGTTCGTCCGTCCATCCGCTCGTTTGTCCGTTTATTCGGTCAATTCATATTGTCTGCCTACCCCTGACATCTGTTGACCTTTAAATGAAATCCATTTCTTTGTATCATTTTGGACTTTCATTTGCCTGAACGAAAAACTAAATTGAAATTTTTAATTTTTTTGTCGTATTCGTTTTTTGTTTTTGCTCGAGCAAACAAACAACAAAAACACATAAAAAACAAAAATAAAAATTGGGAATATGGCCGGACCAAAAAACAAGTGTAACAAATAAAAAACGGAAAATCATCATCAGCAGCATCAACATCATCTACGAAAATATATACTCTCAGCATACAAATAAAACAAAGAAGAAAATTTCCATAAAAATGAGAAGACGATGAAAAAAATTCCATGATTGAAAATAGATATCAAAAGTGTTCGGCAGCATACTAGTACAATTTTCTGCAGTGTCCTTTGCTACTCTACAAAAGACCATGGCACCGACACCATCTCCTTATTTGTTGAAAAAAAAATTAGGAAATAAAATGGGGGCAAAAATGTAATAGTGTGGGTTATGAGAATAAGTAGAAGGTGTTTGACCTATTGTGGAGGGATTTTTATACCCTACACAACTATGTTGTCAGGGTATTATAGCTTTGTGCAGCCCCAAATGTTTGTAACGCCGCGAAATATTGGTCGTAGACCCACCTTTAAGTATACCGATCGTCATATCTCGACTAGCTGAGTCGATCTACACATGTGTGTCCGTCCGTCCGTCCGTCCGTCCGTCTGTCCATTATAATTTGTAAACACGATACAGGCCACAGTTATGGACCAATCTTCACGAAATTTTGCATGTAGGATGGGTTCTGGCCAATGAAGACCCCTATTGTTTTTGGAAAAGATCGGTTAATATTTAGGGGATGAAATGGACCAAATACTAAATTTTTGTCGGTTTTTCTAGTCGCTCCAGAGGCCGCAATTATGGCACAAACACCGCGAATTTTTGCATGGAGAAGGGTATCGGGCCAGAGAATAAGCATGCATGTTTTGATAAAGATCGGTCAATATTTAGCGGGTCAAATGGACCCTGACTTTTGTGTGAAAAATGACAAAAATTGTATTCTATGGCATATATATTTACTCCTGGAGGATGTAGACCCCAGGAGTTGATAGCATATCCAAGAGGAGTGGTTTTCCTTTAAATTGATACCAAATATAGTGATGTATCTACTTAGATGTGGGAGTTACAGTCAAATATTTACAGGTGCTTACGTATTCAGATATTATTTAGTAACCCATTACCACATTAGAGGGAGAAATATCGCGCTGATGGCTTTGAAATTGTTCATGAGGTTCCAGTTATGGTCAAGAACAACGCCTATAATTTTCGGTGATGATCAGATTAAAATTTTGGGATGAAATGGACGGAGAATATAATTTTTTGTGTGTTTTCGAGTAGAGTATAATCCAAAAATCACAACACAACCCACCGTGAAGGTAATCTGGACAAGTAATTAGAAGGACTGTACTGAATATTCGAAAATAGTAAGGAAGAGGTGTTGTTAACCTCTAATCGGACAAGAGGGGGCAAATATCACGAAATATTACTCAGACTCGGAATAAACATCCTCAGAAAATTAGAGTTCGTGGTAGTTGTGTAGGGTATCGTATGGTCGGCCCCGTCCGACTATACTGCTCCGCTCACTGGTTAAAGAATATTTTTTCGAGGTCTATCACTGCCACAGGCGTGGATTTTTAAAGAATATTTTTTCTAAGACATTCAGAGCCTCAGGCGCGGATTTTTAAAGAATATTTTTTCTAAGACATTCAGAGCCTCAGGTGTGGATTTTAAAGAATATTTGTTCTAAAACATTCAGAGCCTCAGGCGTGGATTTTAAAAGAATATTTTTTCTAAGACATTCAGAGCCTCAGGCGTGGATTTTAAAAGAAGATTTTTTCTAAGACATTCAGAGCCTCAGGCGTGGATTTTAAAAGAAGATTTTTTCTAAGACATTCAGAGCCTCAGGCGTGGATTTTAAAAGAAGATTTTTTCTAAGACATTCAGAGCCTCAGGCGTGGATTTTTAAAGAATATTTTTTCTAAGACATTCAGAGCCTCAGGCGTGGATGTTTAAAGAATATTTTTTCTAAGACATTCAGAGCCTCAGGCGTGGATTTTTAAAGAATATTTTTTCTAAGACATTCAGAGCCTCAGGCGTGGATTTTTAAAGAATATTTTTTCTAAGACATTCAGAGCCTCAGGCGTGGATTTTTAAAGAATATTTTTTCTAAGACATTCAGAGCCTCAGGCGTGGATTTTTAAAGAATATTTTTTCTAAGACATTCAGAGCCTCAGGCGTGGATTTTTAAAGAATATTTTTTCTAAGACATTCAGAGCCTCAGGCGTGGATTTTTAAAGAATATTTTTTCTAAGACATTCAGGCGTGGATTTTTAAAGAATATTTTTTCTAAGACATTCAGAGCCTCAGGCGTGGATTTTTAAAGAATATTTTTTCTATTTTTTAAAGAATATTTTTTCTAAGACATTCAGAGCCTCAGGCGTGGATTTTTAAAGAATATTTTTTCTAAAACATTC